TTGCACGCGTATACCCATAGGTGAGCAAGATGTCAAGTTCGAAATGTGTATGCACGGAGGAAGGGAAAGGCTTTTATAACGATCTATCATTGCATTATCATTGATCAATTGCCTGATGTAATTTAACTGACGAGTATATTATTGGAAATTTATTTATACCGTGAAAATTGGCTTTGCAAGATATGTTGACGGGGTACTATAAATTTTTCTATAATTATTTAGCCTTTGACGTTCTAATTAGCTATTATATTATATTATTGTAATATCTATTTCGAGCATTACCATTTAGATATTAATTATGTGCACACTCGCGTATTATTCGTGGCCAGTGAACGCAATGAATTATTCAATTAGTTCGCTTATTAGACGAGAAAAGAAAAGAGCTGTCAACGCGATAAATTCTTCGACGGAGATAAGAGGAAGATAAACACGGCGAAAAAGGTAGAGACATAAGCCCCTGCGCATAAGAACCTTAGAAAGTGTCTCTTAAAGCACTAACCACGAGGTAGATTTTACTACAGGTGTTTTTTAAGTGTCGAGGCCGAGTGCCGGTGACACGTACGTTTCTCGATTTCGGCGGATAAAGAGTAGTAAAAAAAGTGTCGGATTTCAGCGAGATCTCCATTTAAATAAAAATGATGATAATTCAAGCTCGCGCGCTCCGCTTATCCTCTTCGGCCACCCCATTCTCTTCCCCTCCCATGACATTTGCCGTCGAGCAAACCGCATCCCTCTCCGTCTCTATCATTCGGCACCAGTCAAAATTATTAGCTACATCATAAATCAGCAACCGGAATAATTATTCGTGTGATAACATTCATTATATGCTGGTGAAGGTAAGGAAGAGAGACAGATTGGGATTGAAAGGACGGGACGAGAAGCAAAATTAAATATTGCAGGAGAGGAGAATGGCGGTGAGCAGAGGCGCCGATTCCCCGCCGAAACCTCGCCGTAACCCTACGGGAAGCCACTTAACGTGTCTCTGTCCCGCGAATAGTCGCGTTAATTGGCCCGATCACTTAGCGCGTCGAGACAAACGGGCTCTCCCTTCATTTCCGGGCAATCGAAGCGAATAATGCGAAGCTAGAGATTCACCAGGTCAGAAATTAACATGGATTTTCGATATTTACGATATTTTTGCCGTTACAGGTGGTATAACGGCTTTCCCTTATAATATCCTTTTCTTCTCTCCCTTGCCTTGTCCTTCCTTCTCCTGCCTCTCAGCTTCAAGATGACGTATGCGCGCAATTTTTATGCCTCCGTGTCTCTCGCGTACTTCTCTTTCCC